ACAACACCTTATTTGAGCTTGAATGGACGATGGTGCAACTCTGTATCGGTCCCTTGGCTTCCTGCTCCGCCCACTATGGCACGTCAAAAGCACGGTAGCTCTGGACAGCCCTTTATGGGAACAAAAGGAGAATCATTACTTCCGTATTTATGGATAACCACAGGGTGTTCCACAAGGTCGTGCTAGAATCACTGTGAGGGGGCGAGAAGCGTCGAGTCGAAGATTCTCGATCCGGATTGGCTGGCATTCTGACCAGTCAGGGCATGCCTTCGTTTGGTCCGTGTCCTGAACGTGATACATCCGTCCAAATGATGTGCAGTTCGGTTATTAGGGACAGCTGGCCTCCGTACAATCAAAGACCAAATGACCGGAACCTTTCTCAGTGGTGGACGGAGTTCGAGACTACGTGTATCGCACTGAGCACATAAAGCCAGTACGAACTGAGTAAACCAGATGGAAATGCTAGTTTCGAATGTCGTTCTTTGGTTTATTGAGCGGTCGAACGCATAGTGAATACTACTACTGACGATTGAATAGGCATTGATAGCACAATTTTCCTATTGTGGTTAAGACGCTGTGAGTGCGTTTCTGTCATTGGATGAAACGGCAGGAACGTGCCAAATTGTATTACTTTTATGGTGTACTTCCAAAATATCAGTAGTAGTATTCAGTGACCTTCTCCAATGAAGGAAAGTTCTCGAAAGGAATTGTCCTAAGGAAGGAGACAATTTGAAAGGCACCAAAAGAATCCTTAACGGTTTATTCAGTCCAAAAGAGAAAACGCACCACAAAGAAAATGCCCTACCTGACTGACTGGTATTCACCAGTGGACTATTAGGCCAAACGGTTGATTTTACAAGTACTGCGGATAAACTGAGGCAAAATCATCTGTCTCTGCTTGACTGCAGTGGAACTGGCTCATCTGATAACTGAAGACAGAATGTGGAGATTTCCTCCTGTAAGTGAAGCCAGTCTATGCTAAAAAGCCGAGAAGCACTGTACAGCTGTTTCATCCTTATTGGGAATCATCAGTATCCCACGAAACTCCAGAGAGTCTCGAACTGGCGACCTCCCATCTAGTAGTTTGAACACTTAACCATTCGGCCACGGGCGGCTGATCAGCAGTGTGAGTGACTCGCACTTTGACAGGATTCAGCGCCTCTCATCCTTCAATCACGGCTCCTCGAACAATGACTTCTCAGTGCTTCTCGGCTTTTTTTAGCATAGATTGACTTTGTTTACAGTGCAAAATCTCCCCAAGAACCAAAATCTCCTCGCACTACCAACAATTAACGCAGAATGCATTCCCGGGTACACACCACAACTCCAACACCAGCTCAGGGTAATAGAGTCTGGACAGAGGACGAAACCATACACATTCAATCGATACTTATCGATTTGGCAATGATTTCCACTCAGTTCGATTCAGTTCCATTCAAATTATCACTTATAAAACATGTACGATGGGCACATTGGTTCCAGCTGCTACAGTTTCGATCACCAAAAAACGGGAGTATGGGACATACAACCAGGCTTTGGAGGCAAAGGCAAGTTCAATTAGTTCGGAAAATGAGTAGCTACGTATTGAAGGCGACAGCTTTGGTGCACGAGTGTCACTGACTGCGCGAATGGGCCATTTCCGCCAATGTCATTAACCTTTGGTCATTAACCTGGGGTCCCCATCCAGGAAGGCAGCAGTTTCCCACCCGACTTAGTTTACTGGTTAGTTTTTTCATACTTCATTGCAAGGTCATACACTTTCCAGCACAGGGATCGGTGAAAAGAGCTCTGAGAAGCAGACGATATTCTGGCATGCTGAGTACATGACTCAACCATCGTAACGTATGAAGTGTGAGTAATTTATCTATCGCGGGAGAGTTTCTTATTCCCAAGACCATCTGGATTGCTAATGTACTGGTTGCTTTCAACAATGTACAGTACAGATCATCTGACGCCTCCGCACCAGTTCCAACCAGCACCAAGAGGGGATCATGGGACTCGCATGTGAGGAACGTGTCAAGTGCTCCGAATCGAAACCTGGCTTGGTAGGCGACGGTCGATTTCACATCCATAAAAGTGTTGGCACGAATGTAGTCGCCCAGTTGGCATGCGATGACTGTCCCCAGCTTTTCCGAAGAAGGTTGGCCTGAGTCAACACTGCTGGCACGTATACCCCACCCAGCATAATACAGATAAGCTCGGCCGAATGAAGAATCCCTGTGTTCGCTGGTCCAGACAACAGTCACAATCAGTCTTGCGCCTGTTTGTATCTGTCTTGTGACAGACGAACAGCGCTCGCCGCACTTGAGATCGGCCATCAGCATCATGTGTAATTGTCAAGCACAACTGGAACCATCATCATCTGGTGGCCCCCACCCAAACTATCGGTCAGACGATGACCTATTCGTCAGAATGTGAAGGCTATAGCGTCTGGTTTCAAAGTAACCGTGGATTTCGCCGAGTCAGTCTTGGGCAGTTCGCTCGCTAGTATTGACCTTGTGGTAATTGCCCGAGGGTTGCGGTCTGACATCATGATACCGGAGCAAGCCAGCCCTCCTATGGACCTCTACGCCTCCAAGACATTTCCACACCTCTGGAAAACTGTATCCCAACGCCGTCGTCGGCTAATGCATCGGGTGCCGCCTAACTGAAAGCAGATGCGCTGAGCCAGATCGTCAGAATGTGAAGGCTATAGCGTCTGGTTTCAAAGTAACCGTGGATTTCGCCGAGTCAGTCTTGGGCAGTTCGCTCGCTAGTATTGACCTTGTGGTAATTGCCCGAGGGTTGCGGTCTGACATCATGATACCGGAGCAAGCCCTATCACCTATGGACCTCTACGCCTCCAAGACATTTCCACACCTCTGGAAAACTGTATCCCAACGCCGTCGTCGGCTGACGCCTAACTGAAAGCAGATGCGCTGAGCCAGACACGCCACCATCCAAACTCTATACCACCAGCGAGGGAAAGATCCAGTGTCTAATGTGCTCGATGGGTCATGGGGGAATCCATACAGAGGTAGCTGCGGTCTACCTATGGACGCCGAGCAGATGACATCCGATCAAGTCGCGCAGTGCTACCATCCTATTGGAGTTTATGCAAGCCAATTACGAATGAGAAAGTCAACCGTACGATCCGTTCAATGGGTAGTTCGTCTCCAAGTCTGGACAACCTCACGCTCAGGATACTCTGTCAGTTCAATATCAGTGACCTTGCTGGGCATTTCAACTCACTCTTATTATCTGAGGGTTGTCCACCGCATTTGTGTCTCGTAGTACTCTAGTTCCGAAGATCCCAAATCCAACTTCACCGGACCAACTGAGACCGATGCTTTCATAAGTTGTTTGCTGGTCGACAGGGTGGCGCATTTCACATTATTGAATGGAGATCACAGGGAACCACCTGGTACCAAGGATGACATATTCGGTGGTATTCGTCCAAGTCCACCGCATAGTCTTCGATGTGCGCGGAGCGACTGCATGCAATGAGAAGAGACAGAGTTATGGTGCTGATGAATATTCCCTCACCATAATCTCAGCCCTACGTGCAATCGATTGTGATGTCGACTTTTTGGTCCACCAACTGATGATTATTTCATATCGAGGGATCTGATTTCCTCACTATGCCAAGGCTGTTACTGGACTGGAACTTCCTAAGGTCACAGTCAGTAACTTGTGTCTGCTCACCATTTCGAGCTCTCTACTTACTTATGACAATTTTATGCGTGGTACATGGCGTTGGATGTCCACTCTTGCCATTGACTTTCACACCTGACCCGGACACTCTGTGTCTGATGTGTGAGTCTTGACTGTGTTAGCGCTTACTGTGCCTTGACGAGCATTGTTTGTCCTTTCTTCGGTTGCTGGTCTTCACAAGTGTGGTTCCATACCAAATTTCCACGCGCATGTTGTGAGTGGTGGCCTGTCTTCGAATGGGACGCTTCCCTCGCCTTAACTAATATCCCCATACACACTCTTTCACATGTAACACTGGTATTTGTGCGTTTTCATGTTTTTGATCATGCTCTCCAAAAATAAACGATAATAAAGACATCATAAATATGAAAACAAACAAGAGAGAATCGCGAGCACTCGAATGCTTGTCATATGTAATCTGGTGGGTTTGTCAGGACAACAGATTAGCAGGCTATTTTCAAGTCTAGCATTTTCTGGAACTTGTTCCGTAGGCATTATCTATTCTTAAAATTTTGGTGTCCGTGCCTGAAACTGAATAGCGATTGTGTAATTTTTCACATCTGTCGGTTCACTCGATCAGGCACAAGCAAGCGGGAGCCAGGACATTCTGCCGATGGCCATAGGTATGTGGACACACGTACACTTGTGACATGACCAAAAGTTAACGGACCGGCGATCGATCGGACACCAAATGCAGCATGTTGCGTGCACGTGTGGGCACAGTCCTCGCTGGCAGAAGACCATGAGCAAGCAAACTGAACTACCAATGAGTGTGACAATCACGTGACTTTCCTAAGGCGAATATAAGCCCTGACTATTAGCAAAATACACTCATCTGCATACCAATTTGAGAGACCCAACTGAATCTTTTGTCTATGCTGTCCCTTAAATATACATTCATCTATTGTGATGAGTTTCTGGAAAACACCTCAAAGCCAGTGAACTTCGGGTTTATCGATCAAATGACGACGCTTCATGGCATCGTCACTCAATGATGCCCATCTTTACCGGCTTCAGCAAAATACTTATCTTGGCAGTGTAAACAGGAACCATTGATGTAGGAGGAGAAACGAAAGCATACATTGTGAGATAGATGGCGTCTTCCTGTGTATCTGCTTGAGTAAAATTCATGTTGTAGCTTACCACACAGGACATGCCAAATGACTAATGCTTCAGCTCCTCAACCCTCCCGGGAATCCGTGACTGTGAAACCGTCCCGGTTTTCAGGCATTTACTCCTTCATTTGAAAGGCGTCCCGAAATTTCACTTTCACAGTTGACGATATTATTTGGAAGCCCATTTCTTAGGTAGAGTAACATTTGTGGCGAGCAACTATGATCACCAACGTATTCTGATACGGTGCTTACAGGAGATCAATCAACCGAGAGCCGGCAAAATTAAACAGAAGGATGCCAAGTAAGCCTCTATAATAGATGACACCTTGGGGGGACCACAGGTATAAATTACCGAGCCTTCTCTGTGGAAAAGTGCAGTGGCCCATATTACTCATCCAGCCTCGACGCAAGCGAGCACAAATACGTTTTTTCGTAGAGTTTGTTCAACTGAGATGGCTATCAAGATAACCGATAGCGAGTAAATCAATTTCACTCGATTGGTGCGGAAAAAAGGCTACGTATGCGTGCCAAAAACTCCATCATTTTAGCCGACAAATTGCCTATTGTTTCAGAAAACTTTGCCGTGAAGACTGAACTATGGTGTGAGAGAAGAAAAATCCTTTTTCTGTGTCAGAAATCGTCAGAATAAGCTAGAAAAACAGCTCAGCTGCTTGTTTGGACAACACACCAAAGAAGACACCGATGTAATGCAATCTACTCACTGGACCATTCACCAATCTATCGATAAAATCGCACCATCCGAATAGAGATGGATATCCCCCAAACAAATCCAGGGGTAAAAGTATCTTTACTAAGCAAAACCCAGCTAAGGTGTCTACTTCTAAATTGTGTCGAAAGCTCTCTTTAGTAACCCGGTCATGAAATCCCAGACTGCGTAAGAACATGTCGTGGCTGCGGTCACTTTTACCCACTGCTCACACTGAGTTGTGTTGCGTAACGTTGAAATGTTTGGCCATCCTGGTGACCACCCATGTTATAGTTATCTCTCCAACCGGCTCTGTTTCACCTACCAGTTTAACAGTGACGGAAAACTCTACTGGTTCGAACTGTAAGAAGGAATTTATCAGGAAGGTCAGATTCCTGAGAGTAACCCCAGAACGCACGAAACTTACTGAGATCCTAAAACTCCACCAAAATCTCAATAGGAAAGCCAACAAGCAACCAGGCCAGTCAATCAATTTAGCCAAAGCCAATGAGTGTTCAGGCACGCCACGGAAGCATGACCGAATGTGATCAGTATTCAGGCATGTCATGGAAGCACGATTGATGTTGATGGGTGTTCGCTAAACGCCTATCAGACAGCCTGGATCAATATCAGAAAGTGCCCTTTAAATAGCGCGGGGCCCTTGTAACTTTTGCACTCGCACGAACTCACTCGCTTGTTCAAAATATAGCTGCTGTGTTCCCTTCAGTGAGTCTTTTTTCTCCGGCACTAGGAATTGGGGCGGGGTTAGCAGTCAGATATGGCAGAATCCGAGATTATTTTCAAGACTTACAGCTGCAGATTGATGGGGCGAATTTGAGAATAACTGCATAGTACAGTCATACTTGGTTAGTAGTTTGTACGTGAAATGTACGTGAAACCAAGCTACACCTGTTTCATCCTCACGAAACTCCAGAAAGTCTGAAAGACATGACCCACCCAGAACGCCCGAAACCTACTGAGACCCTAAAACTCCACCAAAATATCAATAGGAAAGCAGGCAAGCATCCAGACCACCTTGTATTCTGAACAATTGACCAATCAACCACAGCGGTCCATCAGCAATGAAAGTAACTAACTTCTAGCGGGATATGGAGTCACTCGTTCTTCAATTATCCGATCCACATCACGTGTTGGCGCGTTGATTGACTGGCTCCTCGAGTGACGACTTCTTAGNGTCACTCGTTCTTCAATTATCCGATCCACATCACGTGTTCGCGCGTTGATTGACTGGCTCCTCGAGTGACGACTTCCTAGGTGGATGTTTCACTCATCCTCTGAGCTATTTAATGTCACATTCGGTGAAGAATACTAGATGATCACGTCGGTGAGCGTTGGTGATCCTCGGGGACGTGTGATTGCCTTTAGTTGCCAGTACAATGTCCTGGACAAAGTCCTTCGATTACTACGACGGGCTACTGAATTCATGCGCACGTACCATTCAATTCGTCTTTTTACCGGTACTGCGAACCACAGACTGACCCTGCTGCCTCCGTTGGAAACCAGACTAACGCATATGGTATGAGGAATTTAGAACGGAAGGTTGGATAGCTCTTAGTCACGGAAACTGACTTTAGGCAGGCGAGAACGAAAGATTTATGGAATTCGGCCGACGCCGTATCACAAAGTTTAGTACATGAACTGATTTCCCGATCCTCACAGCTGCACCAACTAGAATCGTTACCACAATGTTCTCTATTGTCTTTCTCGTAGTGACAAATCCATAGCCTGTAATTCACTCCTGTTCTGGAAAGATCGAACTCCACGTGTCGATCCGCGAAACACACTCATTTACAAACAAATTTGGTTTTGCGGAAGGCTCACATGGAACGCACTTGAATCTCTTGGTTTCGATGTTTCCAGGCCACTGAATTTGCTACACCGGGCCACCTTATGTTTCAGTTGTGACGATATTCGAGATATTGTAATCGTAATGCTCTACTCATTAGGTTGCTAAAAATTCTTTGANGTCTGGTGAAGCCGAAACTCAGCATGATAACAGGTGCCTAAAAGCTCGTCTAAAGATGTTGGCATTGAAGAAAAGTACTCACAAGATTGCCGAAAACTCTTCGACAGCCAACGACCGGTTTCGCTCTTCCTAGTTTCAGGTAGAACACAAGTTTGACGGAAACTCGGGGACTGGGCCCACCTGATTGGTCCCAAAAAGGGCGAAACCGATCGTGGGTTGTCGAAGAGTTTTCAGCAACCTTATGAGTGGTGCATTACGGATCTACTTGTTGATGTTCATCCATTCTAGAAATTTGCGTGGATATTGTAAGACTTTTGTGGTGAGCGAAGTTAGGTGACGGACCAATTAGCATTTGCTCTGGGACAGTCATATCTGTGGTGTGATCTTTCCTAGACTATGCGACTTCATATCAACTGGGGTGTATCACCCATCATGTTGACCCTGTTTGTAACTCCCGCCCTACTTTTGTGCTTAGTGCGTGAATGTGAACTGGCGTTTGCTTGTCCTTACCGCTTCACTCATTTGGCCTTGAGGTCATCCAGCCATTTGTGGCCGACTTTATGCACGTGTGAATGTCTCACGTGGGAGCCTGTTTGCTCATTTGGTTCGTACTTTTGTAGTCCAAGTGGATGAGTGTCTACTGTCGAGGTTTGTATATTTTGTGAATTTATGTCTAACGATAATACTACCGTATAGAAACCTAGCTCCGAATTCGTTTTGCCTTCCCGGAGGTTCTGGTATTACGCATCACTCGAAGATACCGTATGCTCGTTATACTCATTCTCTCGGACTCCTTGAATCCTCTTAAAGTGGCGACTAAAATATGAGTCCTTATATGATAGAACAGTTCGATAGAGGCTTTGCCCTATGTCAACTAAGACTGAATGGATACAACTAAAAAGCACAGTGTATGCCAAACTGATGGTCGAAAGGGTTCAACTCAATCAGCGAGATGTGTGCGGTTCGTCCGACTGTGAAGTTTCACATAAATGAGAGATCGGTTGGCGATGAATTCATCAAGATTCCGTTTAGCAAGAATTTCGTTTCATCACATCTTTAAAAAATCGAATGTTTAAGGAAACCCGGGGACTCGGTATATCAGGGCCAAACCTGTCGTTGAATGAGTACTGTTTTCTGTTGCTCTTTACCTACACTGGATGATTCTTCAGATATGAACTTACCACCTAAACAGGGTCTCGAGTTGAAGGTGTCCTTAAACCACACTACGCGGTCTCAAAATTATTTCCAAGGTGCTTCGCAACAGAGATTCTTTCAAGGGTATATGTACTTACGCACTTATTAGAAATGCCGCACTCTGTTGGTTCGTTAGAGTCACCTAACGACGCACCCCAAAGCAGTTGGTAACTCAGCGAATGGTGGTGTATCAGGTATCTTTTGATCTTTGTTTTATAAATGAAACTACTCAAAAGGTTACTAAAAACTCTTCGGGTACTGCGCTTACTTGATGAGCTCCAAAAAGGGCGAAATCGGTCAGTGGGCTGTCGAAGAGTGTTCAGCAACCTTGTGAGTAGTTTCACTTAGGAAAATATACTGCGATATCTCGTACCAACTGAAATATGAGGTGGCCGTTGTGCAGCACATTCAGGTGAAGAATATCATAAACGATATATTCACTTGAGTCTCTCGTGAAAACCAAATTGATTTGTAAATGAGTATATTTATCGAATATCTTTTGAGTCGTTATGTATTGATTGGCCGGTTGTAAACTACACCCAGAAGCATATTGGAAGATCAGTGCTTTAAAACGATTTAAATGGATGTTACTTTCGCGTATAACCTATCAGTCGTAAGTTCAAGACACTCAAGTCAACCAATGGAGATGTGTGAAAACCAATCGATATTGATTCAGTTTACCGTAAAGCACATTGATCCATTTGGTCTTTCGGAGCTTCCCCATCAAAAGTGAGACGCTGTTTACCAAAAGATCCAGCTTAGGAATAACTTTATGAATCTTGATTCCTAACCTCTACCATTTTCCAAGCAACCTGTAGAATGAACACTAGCAATGAAAATGTAGATTCCAGGTTGGTAGGATGGGTCAAAAGCATATTACTTATTCCGGATTAGTAGTAAGGACCGTTGGAGTGAAAAATTTGCTTTGTGTCAGAAACAACGCATGCCATGCATCATACATGGATCACACAACAAAGAAATATGACGGAATTCGTAAGCCCTACTCAGCTTAATAAATCCGAGGACTCAGGGGGTACCGTTTCCGTTCAACTGCTCCACGTCCGATTAATTTTATTCGTAATATTATTTCAGCCGAATACTTCCAGGTGGTGTGCCGAGTTTTGGAAATCCAAACTTGGCGTTTGTTGATGTTGAACTGATGTCCATCCGATTGCCCGAACCTGACCTCTGTGCACAAGAGCAAGTCGTTCGGACACTCAAATTGACCCGGTCGGTAACAACAGCGTACTAGAACGGACCCCTGATTGGCATTGACCCCCTGTTCTCCCGCTTTTGCCTACCTACTGTTACCAGTTCATCGTCCGCCGGTGAACTTTTAGTTCTCCCTCTGTTTTAATTGACCTAGTCTCCAAGTTCCTGTGCTTGTATACAAAAAAGTACTTGTTCGCTACCTAATTATATTCGGCGGTAGACAGACTTCGTTTTCTAGACACCATCATTCCTGAAACTCAAGTAAATACTGTCGAGAATTGGTGCTCTGGTAACAGCCTTCCCATATTGTTTAAAACCATTCTGTTGTTCATTCTAAATAAGGCATCATATTGGGCACATATTTGGCTAGAAATCCACTCCTCTCTTTGATCTAGATATCGCTTTGGCCGTTTCGAGAATCAACATTGTTTTGACCGACCAAAGTAGCTCGACATTCGATCTTGTTATAGCTTTCACCTGCGTCTATTTTTGTTCACCACTAGGGGGGGATCGACCAACTCATTATCTCATTCCTGTAGCATTCCATTGAATATAGGCACGTGATCATGATCGCCGCCAATGGCTTAGAAAAAACCAACTGGATAACTTCAGATCGTAGACGCGTAAAGAGACCAGACGGTGCACCAGATGTGGCTAACAGGCTTAACCGAAGGTAATGGAGGTGAAATCTGGTCACCCAAAAACTTTGGTTTTTTTATTTACTATGTTGCCCAAGTTAGGAAGGCAATGAAGTGAAATCTGGTCACCCAAAAACTTTGGTTTTTGATTAACTATGTTGCCCAAGTTAGGAAGCCTGTAGAGGTACCGGAATAGGAGGGGGTACCGGTCAACACAAAGTCACATTGTACACGAACCTTTTCAGAGATACTACAGTTTGGTTTATACAGTCGGTCAGTGTTATTACGTCATTTGGTCTGTAAAACTCTACACGCAGCTCATCACAGAATGTTGTTTGACTCCGTTTGACGGGTAAGGTAACAGTAATCACCAGCGACCATACAATCCTGGCGGGAGCGAGATGGACCAAGTGGTTAGAACGCGAATTTACTGACTGTGGTTCGAACCCGACCTCTGCCTCTCGACTTCCCTTGTCTAGGCTTGGGCAACCTGGCACTATCCCAGCCCTCGTACCTCCTTCGGGTGACACAGTAGCTTGTCACCGAAAGGGCGCTACAGCTGAACGATCAGTAGCTTGGCCCCGAAAGGGCGCTACAGCTGAACGATACTATCCTGGCAGACAACCTATCCCAGATCTGAAATCGGAGATTCACGTCTCAGGACAGTCCACGGCATACACAAAACTATCGTGATTAATGGTAACAGATTGTGCATTTTTGCTTGCTTCAGCAACACATCAAAGGAGACCGGTGATGACTCTCTTGAGTGCGGTGGAGTGGTGTTGTGATCTCAGCCCGGTAACGCAGAAGAAGTTCCTGTTTCCGGTCAACCTCCGTTCATCTCATGATACAGAACGCGGCTGCTGAAAATCCTTACCATTGAATACCACCGTTTGAACAACGAAATTCTGAGTGATCAGTCACCTCCTATCGCACGCAATCGGTCCGTATCTCACAAGGAAATCAAAGTACAGGCGCATCACTCAAGGGCACAACAAGCCCACAAATCCACTATCAGTGTATTAAGTGACATTTTATTAGGTATTAAATACATTGTTCAGCTGTAGTACCCTTTCGGTGCCCAGCTGCCATGCCACACGAAGGAGGCACGAGGGCTGGGATATTGCCAGGTCCCCCAAGCCTAGAGAGGAGAAGTCGAGTGGCAGAGGTCAGGTTCGAACCACGGACCTTCCGGTCGGTAAATTCGCGCTCTAGTCACTTGATCCAACTGGTTTGTAGATCAGCTACAATAACAAGGAAAATAAGGGGGGTTGTATCGATCTCAGAAGCGGCCAGCAAATCACCGCGCAGCTAACCACTGGTGATACCACTCACTGAAGTTTGTATCTAAACTTAATTTGAGTACCGCAGTGTGGTATTGACAATCAGTGTTGACAATATCCTAGTCCATCTTCAGCTTGAATGCCGTGTTGATATCACTGTGTTTCTCAAACGACAGGCTGGCAAATCCGACTGCATGCTGGACCCAGGGTGATTCTGGAGACAAAATGGGGTTGATTGGTGAAGACATTATCTTTCAGTGTTCCAGCGGCCATGGCAGTATATTGCCGGATAGCAGGACAGAGGGTGATCTCCAGAGATGGATTGAAGCGGAAAATACAGCTATTCAGTAGGTCGCTAACACTACCTTCAACTCAGAAAGGAAAAACACAGGGCTCACGCCGTAGGAGCACGTGTCTCCTGGTTCTATGGGAGAGATGACACAAATCTGATCTCCCTTATTTTTCGACGGACTAGGGTAGTGTGCGATGGAGAAAGCCATACCTGATCAGTGTTCCGCAGAATGCTCATCGTGACAGTCAAGTATGTCATCCATGCTATCCACTGTTTGCAGACCATTTCTCTGGTTCTCTATAGCGCAGAGTTACGCATCATTATCCAATAACTTTTCCAGTCGGTTTGCTTGTTGAGCATGACTTGGTCGAACGCCAAGATCACAGAGGGACCCAAGAAGCTCCTACCTCTCAATACACGCGACATATGTTCCAATCTACTGGTTTGTTGTTCAACGCGAAGACGGAAATAACTTTATGCCACTACACTGTGCATAATGCGCTGAAGAATGTCCTCACTTATCGTTATAGGCTCCAGTCCTCAAAGGACTGTAGAAGCGCCTCATTTACGTTTTCGGTACTACACAGAACGGCCGATCAAGCCCATATCAGATGTGACGGGGCTTCCTGGAGCATCACAAGTCTAATTTGTCGATATTCTTTATGCCGTAAATGTTCAGTCAAGTTGCCCACCTTTTTAAGTGATGAACAGGTGCTACTGAAGAAATAGGGATCCTATCAACAGTTTCTCACCTGAGAGCTACTATCCTTTCGATGCTGCACAGTCGTTCTTAGGGGCCCTGCGGTGGAGCGGCCTTGGCTCCACGTGTGTGGGGACCTGTCTTTGCATCATAGGTTTTATTGGAACGCGAAATTCAGGCGTCAGGAAGATTCAAAGCCACCGCGGGCTATCCCTCGGAATCAAGGGAATGTCACCCGGAAAAGATACCTAAACCACAGACCGATAGCTCAGCTGAGGCATAATCATGATCTCAGCGCGTAAACAAGACAGCATCCGCCTGTCTATGGTGCGAGCATCTGGTCGATTAGGTCAGGTTCCTCTCGAAATCATAACCTTCCTAGAAGCGGACCATCATAAACGAGAGATTCGGTTGAGCTCGGTTGAGCTGCCTTCCAAAACTAAATTCGTGTGCAACTGGGAGTATTTGTCGAACATACTTTCTGTTTGATATCAGTAGGGCGCATCAACTCCACAACAACCGTTCACACTTTTCCGTCTTTAAAATTTGATGATGAAGGTAGAGACACTTCTATTCGCGAAAAGTATCGGATTATGCCATCTCCTGAAGCCCTTACCTCTCTGGAGCGGTCACTTCTGGTTGGTTTTGTACCGACTTACTTGCTACTTACTAATGTTTACTATGTGTACCCGAGAGCACTTTTTTGTTTCGTCGAAATGTAGTGCCAGATCAAAGCCGACCAACCATGAATGTGAAAAATACTGCAGATAGCTGTTTGTTCAGTCCAAATTATACCTTTCTAAAGCATTTCGTATTGACAGTGCATTGTTACCCTTTTCAGTGCAATTCCTTTTGTAAGTGATTTGGTCATCGAAGCGATTTCAATGCGTAACTATCTCCCCCGGGGGAAGGCGAAGCGTCTGACGAGTTTCTTGCTGAGTTCAGCACAAGTGACTAGAATTCATTAGTCTCAGGTTGTGAAATGTCGCGTAAGTCAGTGAAGAACAGGTTGCGCAACGGTTCTGCGCCTCTTGACGTACAACTGTATGGTTGATATACCAAACAATCTTACCCTCTCTTCCAGATATCCTAGTTCAGAATCGCCGCTCTGCGGTATCCGAATTATCAGGAAGATCAGATTCCTGAAAGCAACCAGTGAATGCCCGAAATCTACTGAGACCCTCAGCTCCACTAGATGCGGACTAGGGCCCATTAGCCGCACAATGCTCTTTGTTGCAAAACCTTTGCGAGTGAAGTAAGATTCTGCGCCAAAATGTTGCAGCTCATCGAATTTTATTGTCCACTGAAGCAATCATACCTCTAACGGAGAAGGTCTGCTGGAATACATTCCTAGCATCGTTGAGACCGCGGGATGCCTAGATGGGGCTCAAAAGTTTGGGCTCGTACTCTGAACTCAATTACACGTCTCATTTGGTCCATCAGGGACACGTCGTAGCTTTCGAAAATTTGATTTCATTGTGCGAATACTGAGCGCCATGCTGACCAGACAACGTCCCCTCAATATGCAGCGCGTCACAGCCTTGTATGAAACCCGGACAGCGCGAGTCAGCGTTGATCAAGGTCAGACAACGCCCCCGCAATATGCAGCGCGCCACAGCCTTGTATCAAGGCCAGGTAGTGTGCGTCAGCGTTGGATCAAGTTCAGACGGTGTTCCTCCAATAAACTGCTTGAGGCCGTCGTATTTTCGCATTCGCACGCACTCACGCTGTAGCACTCGCTTGTTCGGAATATAGCTGTTATGTTCCCTTCTGTGAGTCTTTTTTCTGCACTAGGCGCTAGAGCTGGGTCAGAAGTCGCATACAACAAGAATACAGCGTAGATTAAGCCCCGCAGTCCGGAGCTAACTGAATGCACGATAAATCAGCCAGCGATTCTCATTCACTGACCCGATAACAAAATGAAAACAAGCTGAAAGGAGAACTCAGTGTTTCGGACAGTAAACTATCAACCTGCAAGTTAGAAAGAGACTGAGTAGGAAAACCCGGGTTGTTGAAACGGTTGAAACGAAGTGACCAACCCAAAACTTCATCCGGTAGTCGACCGGACAGTGCTCATCGACTTTTCAGAGGTCTAATCAACATGGCTTCGTCACCTCCGCTTGACTGGAAATATGGAGTTTGTGTGGCTTAAAAATTGCACAGTTTCACTCATCAGGCAAGTAAGATTTTGGGGTCTTGCGGGACAGGTATTTTGTTCATAGTCACGCCACTCTCGTTTGAACGGTCGTGTTCCCGTTCTGGCGTAATTATTCCGGTGAGTCCACACTGTGAACAAAAAATACCTATCCCGCAAAACCCCCAAAATTGCAGCCAAAAATTTGCCCAGTGGGTTTCAAGCTTGTGTCACGCTACCTGACTGGGAACTGCCGATTGGTTGGGTCAATCGATCGTCACAACCAGGACAGTTACTGGGTCGTCGTTCGATGAGTCGGGCACACCAATCAAGTGTGAGCACGTTCGCCTGTTCAGACTTGATAATTCGGATGCGTCCAACGTGCGTTGGCGGAGTAGTGGTTACACGCTCGCCTCGCACGTCAGATGGTCGGGGTTTTAATCCCGGCACGGCCAATGGATACGCAGTGCTGATGAGCTCTACTGAGAGCGAAATTCGAGTTCAGTGTTTCCCTTTGGTGTGGACTCACTGGAATAGTTACGCCACAACGGGAACACGACCGTTCAAAGGAGAGTGGTGTGACTACGAACAAGTAAGATTTTATGTAGGGGGGGGGATGGAGAAGGAATTTCACACCAAAGTTGCTTGGTGGTCGACTGAGGAACCGTCACAGCAGAGTATCAGAAAGATGCATCTCACAACAAAGTACTATGACTTATGACGACCAAGCCACAAGTGCAAAAATTCCTCATGGATCGGGCGGGAAGATAACCATGTTGGCCTTACGGCAAATATGGTGCTTCCACAGTCTCCTAAGGATATCATGTAGGCTGCGTTGCTGTTCAAAGTTCTGAACGATTCATTAGGTAACGCCTGAACGTCCCGTCATATCATACTGCCTTAACCAACAAAGGACAGCTGGGCCGCCTATAGCAAGTTTTTACGATTACCTGGATACATGACTAATGAATCTCTGCACACCACCCCGTGAAACGAACTCAACCCAAGAAAATCACCACAGCCACTTTGTTACTGGTCACAGTTCCAGCTGTTATTGTGAGGTTAACAGAGGTCTATTTAGACGTAATGCACTACGCATTAGGTTGCTGAAAATTCTTCGAAAGCCCACGACCGGTTTCATCCTTCTTGGGGATCAGCAGGTAGGCGCAGTCCCCCAGTTTTCGTCAACCTTATGTTCTACTTGAAACCAAATTGCACGAAATTAGCGAAGTACACTCATTTGCAAACAAATTTGGTTTTGCGGAAGACTCACCTGCAACCCAGCTGAATCTCTTGTTTATGATGTTCCTAAGCAAAGCCAAGTTTGTTTACAAATGAGTATATTTCATTAAGAGGTCTACACACACACACGCACGACTGACGCTGATCTTTCTTCGCGAAGTTTGTGCCTGACGGCTTTTGCAGACTCCAACAGTTATCGGCGGCCCAGGTCTACGCGTCCAGATCGATGAAACGCCGTAAAAACCACGCAGGGCGAGTCCTTCCTCAGCAGTGGATTTTCGGAGGGATCTGCCGGGAAACTAAAGAGGTGTTCATGTATGCAGTGCCAGATCGAACTGTGACCACTTTGATGGANCACGTCTACAAGATGCAGAATAAACGCCAGGGCGGCACACACCGATCTTTAGTGGACAGTTACTTGTGTGTGTTCGTTTGGAACAAAGGTATCGAAAAACGAACCTTTCCATGCAAATTATTAATGACATGTCCCAATTTCACTCTCTTCAATGAAAACTAAAGGTACAAATTTCATATCCTCTTTTTTCTAATCTTTATGTGTGATGAGGATTAATTTTTTGGCGGGGCTTATCTGGAAAATATCCGTCCAGGTTGTCCAACGAGGATGATACAGTGAGTGTGAAGAGATTCCAGCATTCGAAAATTACTCAGTGAGCTGTCTCAAATGACTTACCGCCATCAGCGTAGGTTTCCACACCGAAACTGGGAAATCCATTCTCGAATTCCCCTTCGAAACGTCCAATCGAGTTCTCCTTACATTTGACTCCGACAGAGATAAAGTCATCCACAAATTTTCCCATAATCACCCAATCTTCACGAGTGAAGATACCATGACCGTTCCGACGGTTGTTAGCCCATTCACCCTCGTACATCGCACCAGGTGCATTGGGCCAAAGAAAGACACCGCTTTTTTCCATTCCTGCATCCCAGAGGCCGGTATATTCCCCTTGACATTTGTCCTTGGTAATCAGGCCCAGCCCGACCGCTTTTTCATTCAGCCACTCACCGATGTAGATTCCAGCGTCCTTGAATTCATACCGGCCGGCAGGAAGGCAAGTGGGCTGTTGAGGGTTGCGATCAATCATTTTGTTTCAATGATATATCACGAAGCAAAATGAAATGCTGTTTGGTTGCTCAACTACGGGTGGTTGTTGTACGTTTTGCAAAACAGCGAAAAAACGTGGGGATATTTCCATGCTGGTTTTGATTTCACTTCACCATTGCGAAGTCATGGCATTAACTAACGAAACTTTGCAAGTCAAAGTCCGGTCGGTACACACACTAGGGCGCATTGGTCTTGTGGCTGGGAGAAGCGAAACAGGCCGACACTATCCAGCCCATCGGTGATTGGTCGATTTCACGCACACGGATGTCGGACATCGATCGGCCATTTTCCTGTGCGCGTGCTGTTTCGCAAGCAAGCAAGCATCCATACATCTTAGGTGTGCGCAGCGGTTGGCGTGTTGTCCGCATATGTCAGTATTTGTGGAGAGGAACACACGATGTCAAAGTGCACGCGTGACAATACGGAAGCTGTATCGGTGGGACTGATTTCCACATAAACACTCAGTGGACTCGGTGTTGTTATCCTACAAGATCGTAGCTTGACGTGCTAAAGTCAATGTTTAGGCAAGGGCTTGGAAACAAACAAACGGGTTGCTGTGCTTATCCGCTTTTATTTGTTTTGTTAAGGAAATGTTAGTTAGTATTCCAGTAATCCAATTTTTGACGAAACACATTAAGTACTAGTTTGACAATGACAGTACAGGTCTGTTTTCTACTTAATGTCACTCAAGGTCAACCTGGAAACAGTATAAGGACGGGTTTTCCACACCTCACTTAGACATGGAAGCTAGGTTTAGTTTTTGGCTTATCCAATTCTTGAACATTTTTTCAGCTGTAGTTAAAACTTTGTGTGGAGCACATTTGTGCCCTGTCAACGTCATCAACCTCGTAAAGTTGGCCACCACACGATCACGTGATGAGGACTATGCGTGGAGGATAGTGATGATGTAGCCCACCTAAGCGACGGCCGCCTAAGTTAGCTGTCCTCAGGTTATCCGTCATGGGTACCGGCTTTTCGCAACCTATTTAGGCAAAAGCTCACCGACAAGCCTCATCGCAATTTCGTATGCTAATTTGATTCCTGTTCTTGTACATTTGAGCAGTTCTTCCCTCACTTTGTTTTTGCAGTCTTTGGTGTGCCAGAATTTACGGGCAAAAGTTCACCGACAGGCCTCATCGCAATTTCGTATGCCAATTTGATTCCTGTTCTTGTACATTTGAACAGTTCCTCCCTCACTTTGCTTTTGCAGTCTTTGGTGTGCCAGAATTTACTTTGGAATTTTTTTAAGGGAGCTTCTCAGTTTCATAAGCCTCTCGGTGCCTGGCTGCTACCCGGAGGAAGTAAGAGGTTGCCCAAACCTAGACGGGAACAGTCGATAGATAGGAGGCAAATTGGAATCACGAACCTTTCGGCCTGTAATTTCCCACCTTCACTACTGAGCTGTCTCGAACTTCGGGGTTGACGACTTTTCTAGCCCCGTGAACTTCCATGAGCACGAGAAAGGAGCCACCCCCTTGCCTCCGCCCAAATGGAAAATTTCACCTAACCATCCGTCATCAAGGAGCCTCGTCAAAATATGCAATGTTGCCGTTCGAGAACTACTCTGAGACCAATTAAATGAACAGCAATTAGGTGCCCGACTGCCTATCGCGATTGTGTGGCGGCGAGAGCGTCAACTGGACTCTATCAAGTCACTGGACCCGATGCTAGAGAAGTACACTACTTTGAAATATCAAGCTTGGTCCATTCCTGAGGAAAGTGTGCATCCAGAGATGCTTCATTCGCACGAAAATTAAACGCGAATGTGCAATCCACCTCTATGCTGCGCGAGAAGCGGTGAATCATGGGACCAGCAGCCTGATAGCTGAAGTTGAGCCGGTTTTGTCAGCTTGGGATTCTTTGACATCGTCGTTTGCTTGCCATACGACTGAAGGAATAATCGGTAACACAATTTCGAAGCTTCCTTTGAGAATCCCTCGCCGTGGCACATAAAATGTATAAGCTGCGAGTAGTTTGTATCCAGCATACTTCAGCAATTTTGTTCGAATGACATAACAATGATCGGCCGAAAGGATGAAATATGAAGCTCTGTTTCAGAGAGTATATGTATGAAGCTCAAGCCCAGAGCAGAAGAAAGGCTTGCATCCGTAGATCCTTTGCGACTTTTGTTTTCCACGTTGTTCTCAGGATTTCTCTACGACATACTATCACCTTCTCATTCGTATTAAGTAGAAACGATTCGAAGGAGAGGATGGAGCCAACAATGCGACAGTTACACTGATCACCAGATTGGTGTGATTACTTTGGGTATTGGCCTGTCACATGGGCATATCTCTTTAGGGGAGAAATGCCAGTTTACCGGCAGCTTATCTACGAGCAAACTGCTGAATGGGGCGGGATGATCATCCAAACTCTTGGGCTATGTCTCAGACATAATCCATTGAGAACTGAAAGTCTGGTGGCTTGTACTTGTTGTATCGTGGGTGGCCGTCTATTGGTTACGCCTGCACTGAGCCTGCCAGACTACGCGATAGGGAGAAGACAGAGAACTCGGGACACGGCTGTGTTGCCAGGACAAAACATACAGAGCGTGTGCGTAATATATAGGATGAATAAGTGGCCAAATATGGTCGTTCACTTGTTCGTTCTGTACAGCTAATTGCGGTGTTCCGGTCGTGAACACTCTCGGGCCCACTACGCTGGTCGTATGTTGCTAAGCCGTGTTTGGTGGGAGCCGCCAGCTCACCTACTTTCTGGACATGTCGAAACGATGGGACGTTGGGATCGCGTCACTCTCTGCACATGTGCTTTTATCCTGTCTGGGCGCGTCCTGACAGTACTGTTTGCCTCAAGATGGGCTTGAACGACTATATGATGTCATGTAAAACGTGGTCACCCTTACGTTGAAGACAACTCATATTTTTCTTTTTCTGGGTCCCACCGGTCACACCAAGTGAGCAATGCGGAACCGGCAGTCGGTTGTAGAACGTATCTCAACACTCTTATTGGAAGTGTTCTGTGATATTTCGGATGTCGTAATAACTGAAACCTGAAGTGGCTTTTAAGCAGCTCATTCTTTTGAAGAATATTATAAAAAGAGGTTTATCTGAGGCTCAGCTGAGCCTCCTCTGAAAACCAAATTGATGGGCTAATGAGTGTATTTTCCACACGTAGTACAGCTTGGGTTCAAGTAGAAAACAAAGAGTTTTCAGCAACCCTGTGAGTAGTTTCCTTTATGAAAAAAAAGTTGACGGAAATTCGAAGANTATGCTACCTGATGAGACCGAAGAATGGCGAAGCCGGTCGTGGATTTTCGAAGAGTTTTGCTTACGAAAATATATTACAATATCTCGAAAATCGTACCAACTAAAACATGAGGCGGCCTGCGTGCAGCACATTCAGTTGAATAACATTATAAATGGGAGATTAAGTTGAGTCTTCCGTGAAAACCAAATTGATTTGAAATATCTAAGAAAGCAAAGCCCAAAGCGATGGATGTTGCGCAAATGTCTCTTCCACGGTGAACGAAAGTTTGTAAACATAATACGTTCTTTGTATTCTCAGACTTCCGGACGTGTGAGAGTGTACGGAGAGCTCTCCAAAAGCTTCCGCACACAAAGCGGTGTCCATCAGGGATGCCCACTCTCTCCATTCTTTTTTAACTTTGTGATCGATGAAATAATGAGACGAACGCTG